TACTTTTCGCCAAGTAAATACATTTTTTGATGCGTGTGCAAAATCTATTATATTCGATTGATCCATTTCAGTAACGAAAATTTTTTTCTTTACTCCGACTGTTCTTACGAATTGGTACCAATCAAGGGGATGATGGATTTTTATTGAAGATTTCGTTTTCTTTTTCTCTATCGCAGCATGGTCACTATCGGACTCCATGTGAGTGTGACCAGGGACCATGAATTTATGATCTATAATGCTTACATTGTTTTCTAATTGCAGGAAAACAGCAAACATAGTTGCAATGAAGGAATTTTTATTTTGACCTGCGCAGCAATCACCGTAGAAAACAACATTATTTACATTGGCATTTAATTCCAATAAATGAGTGAATACGCATGAAGCTATTTCGTTTCCACCTCTTTTGGCTATTGCTTCATGCCACATGTAGCATATTGGTTGATTTGTTGCAATGTCATACATCGTAAGATTAAAGGTCCATAATGACCTTTTATAGAATGACAGTAAAGTTCTCAACAGAGGTGTAGGAAGGCACTGCTGAAGGTCAAAACAAAACACTTTTAGTGTAGTATTTAAAGATTTTTCCTTATAATTTTTTTTTGAAGTTTTGGCAACTTGTAGTTGCGATCCCGTACGAGTCCGGACTAGTCAGAAATAGTCAGAATCAGTCAGATTTTACTGGAAATCGATCCCGTACTCGGTTCTCTGACTATTGAGAGGACAAAAAAGAGAGTAAATACGGTTCTCTCTCTGTCAGAAGTTACCAGTTTTAGTCCGAGATTTTTTTGCTGGTAAATTCTGGTAAATGTGTCAAACGATCAGCTGTAGTGTGATTGGCAACCAAATTGTAAACAAAAGAAAAATGCACTCTGCTAATTCATGTTGAAAAGTATTTAATTACTTGTTTAAGTGGATTCTAATGAATTTTAAAGTATTTTTTTGGTTATTTACATGTGTGAGCTGAGTGTGTTTACATACAAAATAAGCAAAAATTTACAACCAAAATTTGGAGGTTATGTTGAAGTTGACAGAAGTTACCATTTTTTACTAGAAAGCGATCCCGTACTTTTCAATGTTACTCTCTCGCTCTGAGCGAATTTTTATTTTTTGACAGTTTTACTAGTCCGAGTCCGAGGAATACGGGATTGCACCTTGTATTTTACATTGAAGCAAATCACATTTGTGGCAGGTGTCAACTTTAGGTTTTTTAAATTTTAAATTAAGTGTTCCAAACAGTTGAGCAAATTTTGAAAGCGATACGGAATGGTCGTATTTATCTCCATAGAGGCGATGAATTTCAGCTACAGACAAATCCCTCGGTAGATAACGGTTAGAGGCATCGCGCCGAGTATAGTGCGACTCATATGACGGAAAGCTTTTTATGAAATTTAAAATTTCTTTTTCTTTTGCCATAGAAAGTTTTCTAGAGCACGTTATGCTTTCTCCACTAACACTACATCCTTCAAGTTTTGCTTTCGCAACCGTTTTTATGAGTTGTTCTGCCTCAGATATCGTAAATCTAAAGCATTTTTGGCAAACCGAAATTCTATTACCACCAACCTCTAAAAAATAATAGTATGTATGCACTCTGCTTCGAAGATTTCTTTCATGCTTAACTCTTTTAATAGTGTTCGTTTCTTGAATTTCAATCAAGCCATACGCCTTACGTAAGTTATAGGAGCCTTGCCCCCAATACTGCTTGTGTATTAATTGCTGTTCCCCGTATGATATTCTATCAGCGCATCTTTTTCTGCAAGATTCCAGCGGGCGCACAACACGAGCAGGAACAATTTTTTCAGCTGTTGAAGTATAACTTTCCCGTGGTTTCGCGACGTGTGTGAGCTTTTCTTTAGTACCACTTCATTTGCAACATTTCGAATTTTCCTAAATTTACATAAATTTTTATTATTACCAGCCAATAAATGAGTGTGTATGTAGTAAAACACTCACAACTTCGCTTTCTGCATCTGAGCTGGGCGCAGTAAAATTACTTATATTAAAACTAGGGTCAACAACCGAATCATCACTAGAAAAATCAACATTACTCATATTGTTAATGTCTAATATGGCAAATAGATTTTTACTTTCCACTGTTATAAGCAAATAGTCTTAACTTAACAATTCAACAGCCTTTCAGCAACTGAACAGCTTATGAAAAATATACGATATGAACACGCACAAAAACAAACTTATGTTAATTTAAAACACCGTTATCGTCAAACGAAAATTTAGCAGAGACTTAAGGTGTTCTGCAAAACGACACATTTTACCTATTGTATAATATTAATTTTATCCTAAGCACTTATGCCCATTTAAGTGATGGAAATCTGGAAAGCTATTTTATGCATAAACGCCTAAGTAAACATATGATGTTTCATTATATTAAATCTGTTAAAAATTGTCTAGTATATATTGAATTTATGTTGACCTAAGTTTTCATGAAATAATCTTTAATATCAGATAAGACATTTCAAATAACTTAGCTTTACTTAAGATATTTTTGGTGTAGGAAATGTATTCAAAAAGTGTGGACGTTGAAAAGTTAACCGTGATAACTTCTTCGAAAAACGAAAAATTTGAAAACGAATTGGATCCAAATGTGGATTGTAAAAAGACGAACCATAATATGACATTAACTCCATTTTGACTTAACTGAACTTAAGATGTTATAATATATGGCCACAGATGTGTATTTGGTACTTACATTAACGGAAACGGCATTTTCCTGCATTGTTATGTCATTTAATTTAAGTTTTGGCGTTTCGCTCCATTCCACTGCAGGCGGTACAAGTGGATCTAGCCGCCCTGATGGACTAGTGCTCATATTGGCGATATTCAGACAATCACCTTGGACCTTCTGCACCGCTGAAAGTCGTCTTGAGAAAAAGACTTTTGCCTTTGTGCCACCACTTCCACTACTACTGCTTATCGCTTCGAGTAACTGTGTACGAGGAATGCGAGTTCGGTCATTGGAATTAAAGGGGGTGTAGGGTGATGTGCTATAACGTTGCTGGCCCCTATGCGCATTACTAGTGTCTATATCAGTTGTACGATCTATGCTTTTATTCAGGGTGGCACTAATATTATTCGTATTCAT